TCAGTACTTCGTTGGGCCACCTTTTGTCTTCAATACTGCGGCGTTTCTTCTTGGCATTGACTCCACGAGATGTTGAAAGGTGATGCAAGGAATCTGACACCATGCCTGATAAATAGCACTGTCCAGTTCTGTGAGATTTGATGGTTGTGGAACCAGCTGCCTGATGGCTCTTTCAACTTCGTCCCACAAATGCTCAATTGGATTGAGAGCTGATGATTGTGGGGGCCACCTAAGCAAGGTAAAGTCTCCCTCATGTTCTTGAAACCACTCCTGCACAGTACGAGCACCGTGGCAAGGCGCATTGTCTTGTTGGAAGAAGCCATCTCCATTGGGATACGCCATCAACATGATAGGATGAACTTGATCAGCAACGATACTTTGGTATGTTGTGCTATTCAGATGTTGTTCCACACGAATTAAAGGGCCCAAATCATGCCAGGAAAACATGCCCCAAACCATAACACTGCCCCCACCAGCTTGAAGGGTTGTACTCATGCATGTGGGGTGCATGCTTTCATGCTATTTCCGCCAAATTCTCACTCTGCCATTTGCATGATGCAACTGGAAACGTGATTCTTTGGACTACATGACTTTTTTCCAATGCTCGACTGTCCAATCCTTGTGTTCCTGTGCGAATTGGAGACGTTTTATCTTGTTAACTGCAGACTGCAAAGGTGTTCGAACAGGCCTTCGGCTTCCATATCCCATACGATGCAGTGTATGGCGAACAGTGCGTTCAGAGATCATTTGAGAGGATCCCTGATGAAGATCTGCAGTCATTTGATGCACTGTTGCCCTTCTGTCGTCTTGTACCAGTCTTGCCACTCTCCGTTCTGCCCTAACATTGACTAGTCGCTGACGTCCACAATTCGCAGATTCAGACCCAGATTTTCAGCTGAAAGTCCGGTCTTTAAACACTTTAACCAAAGCTGCTCTTGAACATTTAACCAATTCTGCTGTTTTGCTGATACTCGCTCCATGGCTCCGAGCGCCAACAATCATCCCACGTTCAAAGGCTGTTAAATCGCGTTGTTTACCCATATCTTCAGAATAAAATCACTTCTACTGTCGTGGTAAACAACCTACTTCCCTATTTATAATGGTCTGGCCCTCTAGCAACTTCAGTGCGAAGTAATTATAGCTAATTTGCCTACAAATGTCAGGTGGTCATAACAATCTGGCCACTCAGTGTATATACGGTATATAATGGGATTTTTGTACTCACTGTTAAAGTGTAGCTCCACTTTTGCAGTCAAATTTTAGAAAACCACACTATATTTTTTTAGGTGTCACACAGCATTTCTAAAATTATTTCTTTGCTTTTAGCTGTTTTTTTTGGAGTAGAACTTTCCATTTTAGTAAATGTACTCCTGTGACAGAAGAGAATTTAAGCCAAAAAAAGATTTGGCTTTAGTTCTCTTTTAAGCCTTGGGTACACCTTTTCTTTTCATCATGGTCTTTTAGATTGTGAGTGCAGCCCCTGAATTTCATAGTCAGTATTGTTAATAACAATAAGTAATCATCATCACCTTTGTCCAAATAAGCTTGTACCCACTTTTACTATAAACATTGTTACTGTAGAGAACATTCTTGAAATAGAAGAGATTTGGTGAAATGTGAATATTGAATTAGAGTTTTTCTTGATTTTCAGCATTAATTGTGCAGCTCTCAAAGCAGCCTCACTGATATCTGAGTACCAGGAGGAAGCAGTGCTTATACTGGTGAGATGACAGCATGTGATTGTACTGTCACCTTTCTCTGTCCTGTCTTCCTTATCTTTTTATTCTGTTTTTTGATGTTTTTTGTTTAGATGGATAATGAGCGCCTGTCACCCAATCCCGGGGTCCCTCCTCTCACAGTCCTGCATCAGAACAGCAGCAAACAGTGGGTCCCCAAAGAGAAAACCTTGTAAGCATAGCTCCTGCAGCATGGGAATTTTATCATAACTATAACACACTTTAAAATCCACAAAATTATAGTTTTCTCATGATGAGACCATAAATCTGCAGATCTTCGTCTATTTACCACATCAGCTCTTGCACCCTTATGAACCAGACAATTTTTACATTTCCTTCTTTTAGTAATATTGTCTTGCAAAAATATTTTATTTTATATACATATGTATATCTATGTATATACATATTATATGTGTTTATCTATAGATAAACATGTAAAAGAAATGTAAACATTTTTTTAGCTCTAAAGATTAGCTAAGGGTCTATTTTTAAATGTTTTCATACAGGATTCATGCAACTTTCACCCAGGATTCACATATTTCTCCAACTGAATTCTGGGTAAAAGTATAAATCTTGTCTTGTCATAACATTTATAAATAGACCCCATAGTGTTGCTAAAAATAAAAAGTACGGTATATATATAATATATATATATACATACTTGTCTTGTTTATAATGAGGGCCCATTCGAACCTAGGCATTCAGTTGCGGTACCTTAACTTCGCACATTAACTTGTGTTGCGTTAAGGAAGCTTGTTTTTTTAAATGGGCTGGCAATGCACCAAAACTCAGACATGCACCATTTTTTCAGTGCAGTGCACCAAAACAAATGGCAGTGCATTACCATGCATTGTTGTGCACTGAAATCCAGGTGTGTTGCCTTAGTATGTGGGGTGCCATTAAAAATGACTTGCACAACAACACATTAACAAATGTATAGTGAGCTGCGGTAATGCACACTTTAACACGTAATTATCCTGACTGATAGGTTTGAATGGGCTTTGTCATTAGTAATACAAAACATTGCAAAGTTTTATGAATTAGATTGTTATTTTTTCAGCGTTGCATTAAAAAAATACACAACAATGAAAACAGCTAACAAAAGTAATGAAAAAAGGTTAAATATTCATTTTGTTGCATCATACTTCTCAAAGAAGTCTCCGATCACTGGGAAAATTGGACAGCCTTGAAAGAGACTACCATCAAGCCTAAGCCTCTCATGCGAAAACGGAGTCAGACGAACCCTAGGCTGGAGAGACAGAATCTAAGCTCTCCTGTAGGAGTGAGACCCTGGCCTGAGCTGTATACAGGACTAGACCCAAGCACTAAAATTGTTCAGTTGGTTCCAGAGCTGCAGGATAAAGAATTTATAAATTCAGATGTTTCTGCGGATGAAGGCTTGTCTGAGGATTCGGCAGACTTTAAGCCCCAGACCTTGGCGGTTCAAACTTGTGGAGGGGGGGGAGATGATTTGCCTGATGAGGGAGTGGGATTGGGGATACAAAAGGGACATTTCATAACAGACAAAAGGAGGGAGAAGACTTTGCAATCTGTTCCTCAGGCTCCTTCTACTAAGGTAAGGTGGGTGCTTTTGCTGCCAGTAGCATCCTTGATAATGGTATCAAGAGTAGATCTGAAGATCCCTGGGTCCTTTGAAGACCATGCAGACCAGACACTTCTTAGATGCAGGTTGCATAGTCCAGGACTTTAGCTAAAGGGTCCTACGTATGTGTACTGACATGAGACCCATATGTGAGATAAGCCGGGAAGCCTCCAGCAAACCTTCACAACTGAAATCTACAGCCATTTGCTCTATTCATTCCATAAGCAAGGGATCAACCACAGCAGTGGCTAGATCGCTTTTAAGCGATTTTGAATAGTCAGCCAAGGTCTGACAAACTAAAATCAGAGCCAAGACGTGCATTCTGAATGGTAGTCGCTTTGTTAAGGCTGGATACTGCCACCTCTACAGAGGAGATAACCCACTTTTGTTCAAAGTCATTTTCTATTCAAAAATACAACTAATATTAGTAACACAGTAAATGTGCATGTAAGATGAGTAAAGGAACATCCACTGTAAATGTGCTTCCTATTAAAAAAGTGATTATTAATACAGGTCACTAAGTTCCTGACCATTTTTCATTCTGTATTATGTACTCTGTATACTGCTCTCATATATCAGATTTCATCTATTATGTGAACTCTAAGGCCCCATTCACACAGGCACACGGCGCATTCTGCGATTTCTGCAGCAAGGACTCATGGATTCCTGCGGCAGGAATCCCAGGTGTCCCTGTTGCAATGTGGCCGCTGTACCCATCGAAGTTAATGACGGTGACAGCAGTCGCATCTCTCGGCGGCAGTCCGCATGTAATCGTACAAAATATGATTACATGTGGTTTGGGATAGATAATTGTCACTGGACACATCTATTCTGCGTCCAGAGACAGTCATCTATCCCAAACCACATGCAGTTCTACCATATACGATTACATGCAGAATGCCACTGATAGATGCGGCCACTGTTACCCTGTCATTTACCCAAATTGGTACAGAGGCCACATCTGAATGGGAACACCTGGGATTACTGCTGCAAAAATCTGTAGGTTCTTTCCGACGGTATGGCAGAACGCCCCATGTGAATGGGGCCTAACAATTTCTGTAAACTAGTTTGGTTATGTCATCAGCTAACCATCCCAAATTCACAACAATCTATACAATTTCTATACTGCTAACTGAAAGTATGTTATGTAATGTTAACTGGAAACAATACCGTAACAAAATCAGGTTTTCAAGCAGTGGCCCAAATTTACAAGTTTCAATATTTCCCTGCAGGATAATGTGGGGTCACTGGGAGGAAACACAGCGTATTACAAGACAACTTCTTCATGCTAAAGCATATCAACGACTGATCGACTTTGACAATCACTTGGATGACATCAGAGCTGACTGGACCAATCAAGCGCTGAATGTGGAAATAGCAAGACTGTCTGCAGCAGTAAATGGCAGCATGTAAAAGCAGAGCTACATGGGGTTTATTTATTATAGGTGTAGAGAATGTTGCCATTGTAAACTAAATGGTAACTTAGCTGAGTTAGTAAATAAAGTAAAGCTTAGTTCTCTTCCATCATTTAGTCATGTACAGAAAAATCCATTTTTTTCCATTACCTATATACAGAATTTGGTATTCTAAGCTATCTCAGCTTTACCGTATTTGCTAAGCTAAGTGAATATTTGCTACTCCTTTGGTAAATCAATCCAGTGATGTTGGAAGAGACCTCTAACTGCTGTATGTATATATCTGTGTAAATATATATATATATATTCGTTATCTATACAGCTTTTGTTTATGCAGCATGTGTAAATTTGCTAATATGCATCTATAACAGTCTGTGTCTAAATTCACAAATGTATCTTATTGAGACACTACCAGATACCATTACGACAAAATATATTTCATACGCAGTAAAGTTTATTTATTATGAGTGCTTTCTTGAACCAAATGCTTGAAATCAAACTATTCATGAGTAGAAACAGTATAATCACATGTGCTGCTTGAGGAGATCACAGAAAATAGGATTCTAAGCTACACCAGAGACAAAAGCAAACAGTTCGGCCTTTTTAGTAAATGAGACGCTTGGTGTCGCCACGTGTTTTTTTTATCTTGTTGTAATTCTTGTTGACGACATCGTAAAGTGTGGCCTGAGGAAAAGATCAAATTGTTAGTGACCACATTTAAATACATAATATTTGTGGACATTTGTTCACCTACAGTGACACTAAACTCAGGAATTAAATCTTAAAAATACATTCAAGTACCCGAACTATTAACAAAAATGTATCTTATTTGTGTATCACTCGGCTGTAGATCCTCAAATCATCTCTGAATTGGTGCTGACACTGTTCTTCCTTCTGGAGGGGGGCTACTTTTGTTCCCCATGGTGCCTGTGTGTGTTGTAAAGTAGCCACCGCTCCAAGCTCACTCCTGTGATGGACTACAATCTCATGTTCAGTTTACTAATTTGTCTTGAGATTGTAGTTCATCACAGGAGTGACCTTGGAGTGGTGGTTACTTTACAACACACACAGGGTCCATGGGGAACAAAAGTCGCCCCCCTCCAGAAGGAAGGACAATGTCAGCACCAATTCAGAGCTGATTTGAGGATCTACAGCCGAGTGAGACACAAATAAGATACATTGTTGTTATTAGTTAGGGTACCTGAATGCATTTTTAAGGTTTCACTCCTGAGTTCAGTGTCACTTCAAAGCTGAATTCCAGTTAGGCATAAAAATACTGTATAATCCAGTTATGTGTTTATTAAAAGCTCACTTAAAATAGAAGTGTGCTATCCTTAGCTGCCAGCTCAGCATTTTTACAGTAGGTCCTAGTTACCTTAAAGGGAAATTCCATCTTTTTGAAAAAAAAATGAATAAATGCACACTCCTTCAAAAGTGAATTGGAGCCAGTAAAGCTTTGCAACCAAGTCCCTCTGCCGCAGTGGCTGCTGGTACTTGTAGTTTCTCCATTCACAGATCCTATCAAAGGATCTATGAATGGATGACATGGCTGTGTGGTCAGAGATTTGCTGGGAGAAGAACCCCTCGATTCGGGTAAGTACAGGGGGCAGCATAGGGGTGGAGGGGTTGCGATATGACTATGTTTTATGTTACACCCTGAATATGGGTAAACATGAAACATGGTAGGAAAAGCAAACTTAGCCTTTAACAATAGCATAGAGATCTTGGTTGTGCAGCCTGAACTACAAGTGTATATGTCCTTTATATGTATTGTAAATTCATGCATAAGTACCTAAATTCTGGCTTTTAGAGATTGTTTAGTCCCCTGAATCCAGGGCTCATGTCGGAAGCAGGAGGGCCACCGCTCTGAGTCAATTCAATGTCATCAATGTACTGCTGCTTCCTTATTGCTAAATCAGCAAGCCGATCTTGACCAATCTGCAGTGCTTAACTGCACTGGAGGACAAGGACCAGGCTATGCTGTCTTGCAGGGGTGCTTAGATGACAAGACTGGTTCAGATATATTGTATGTATTTGAATTGTGTAAGCCATTTTTGCCTACACAGCAAAACTCCTAGGTGATGTTCTTTGCAGTACCTATGCACATACAGTATTTTAGCTTCTGGACTGATTGGTAAATGAGTGGACAGGCATCATGTTCACCCTATATATCAGTCCTCCACTGTTCCTGCTATCAATATGTCCCACACCAAGCATTTTCTCTAAGTTTCCCTATACTCATTTGCTGCATGTGTATAAATTAGGAGACGTCTGAATAGTTTTCCATCAGAAGAGCAGCAGCAATTTGTGGAGGAAATGCTAGGCTCTGAATGGTTTCATCCATGGACGACAGGCCGGGTGCTCGCATGCAAGTCAAATCAACACCGATTCATATATGATAGGGATGCACAGATACTTTTCGAGTACCAGTGCCAAAACTTGGCATTTTCATGAGAACTACCAGGGTTGCAGGAGTTTCAGCTGGGACCTGGCTCTGGCGCTCCACCATTGTCCTGAAATCATGAGTCTGTATTGTAGAAAAACTGTCACATGACAATAAACAAAAATGTATCAGTACTTGTGTCTGTAAGTACTTGGGCAAGTATCAGTACTTGCAAAAATTCGGATCGGTGCATCACCTATATACATTTATAAAAACAAAATCATACATTAAAACAGAGATGCACAAATCCCAGGAGCTCCGTGTGCTCCTTACAAATGACAGCTGCCTCCTAACTTGTGAATTTTTCTCTAGTCTAGTCTTGGAGCTGGAAAAGTATCTGTACTTGTACCGAGTGCGGTACTTTGTATTGGTACATACTTAATATATGAACACTGTTGTATTGCCCTCTTCCCTGCTGTTGTTAACTACAGGCAACCACAACAATTTGAGAACTTGGGCCTTTATTTCATAACATGATACTGTATATATAAATGTGTAGTCACCTGCAGTACCCAATCAGATTTCAGCAGTTTAGTATAATGAGGCTAATGAAAAGTAAGCCACTCTTTACAGTTTAAAAGAGAACTATGGCCAAACCTTTTTTTGGCTTTAGTTCTCTTTTGAGTCACAGGGGGACATTTACTAATGTCCTCCTGTGACTCAAATTCAGCATATACCGTGTTTCCCAGAAAGTAAGACCTACACAGAAAATAAGACCTAGCGCTATCTTCGGGGATTTCTGTAATATAAGACCTACCCCGAAAATAAGACGTAGTTCGGGGTAGGTCTTATATTACAGAAACCCCCGAAGATAGCGCTTGGTCTTATTTTCGGGG